CTTGGTCGGCTCCTCTGGGTCACCTGAGTTGCCAGAGCACTGCTGTGCCTGCCTGCGCTCCTGTGTCGTCTGTGCAGCCAAGGAAACCAAACGTCTAGTGCCTCAAGTGCAAGGGGTTCCTGCTGTAGTTCAGCAGAATAGAAATGGTAAGATGGCTTCGTTGAGGTAGCTTGTGAAAACAGATCTGCAAATCACACGTGTATCACGTGAGATACATCCAGTGTTACAAGCTGCTGTGGTGTAGCCCAGCCAGCACCTAAACGCCACGCAGCCGCTTGCTCGCCCTCCCTGTGCTCAAGAGAATGAGGAAGAGAATTAAAGGAAATTAAAAGAGAATTAAAGGAAAAAAGAGAAGGAGACTTGTGGTTTGAGATAAGTACAATTTGATAATAATAGAAAATTAAAGCAATGATAATAATATATGAATATACATAATGATATATATGAACAAGTGATGCACCGTGTAATGGCTTACCACCTGGTAAGTGGTGACCAGCGCCCATCCCATCCCGGCAAGCGATCCCAAAACAGATAAGTCCTGGCATCGTAGTGCTTGACAATTGAGAGGCCCGAAAAGAGAGAGAGTGCGCCTTTGGCAGAGGATACCAGACTTCCCGGTCCACCCTCATGTATATATGCTGGGCATGACGTTGCATGATACGGAATATTCCATTAGCCAGTTTAGCCCTCAATCCTAAGTCTAAGTTCAAATCACAAGGGGAGTAGTGGACTCTTTGTCCTGGCCTTGCTTGCCCCTCAGCCTGTTGTGCACCTGCACGCTGGCAAAGACATGGGGAGCTGAAAGATCTTTGCTATCTCAGTACCAACTATAAATACCAGTGCACTATCAACATTCTTCTTATAATGAATCTCGTAGTAAATCCAAAAGACAGAGCTCTTCTAGCTGCTAGGAAGAAAAACTAACTCTGTCCCAGTCAAAACCAGGACACTGCTGCTCTCTTGCATAAAGGACAGCTCTCTCCTTGCCTTCTCCAGCCTGCTCTTCCTAAAAGCCCGTGTCCCTCCACTGCAGCATACCAGTCATGTAGGTTGAAGATGAGTGCTGCTGCACACATCTGAAGTCATTTTGCTTGGAGTTAAATTTGTGAAATACTTTCACGGAAGCACTTGGACCCTCTCCAGAGGTTCTTTTGCATAAACAGCAGACTAACATCTGTGTCTCATCTACAGGCACAGAGTTCTGCTAAGCCTCTTCAGGTTTGAGAACCTCTTAAGCTCCCACCCCCAGCTATGCTTATTGTATAAGTAAGGGAGGAAGAATCATCGGATTACAAACGTGTATGTCTCTCAAATGACTGGCAAAGAATATTTCACCTTGCGGGGGGGAAGTGTAAGTAGGCTGGGTGAATAAGACGCTCTTTGCTCTTGGGTGTGGCAGCACATTAAATCCCTGGCAACTCCTATGTACTCGGAAGCTGAAAAGTGCTGCTTTATTACATCCTTTTTTAAAGGAGGTAAACATCTTGTGTTCGCTTGGTGCAAAATGTGACTTAAATATGAAAATTTTAAGAACTGTTCTTCCACCAAGTGGGTTAGTAGAATAGCAAGAAATAGCTGTGTAAAGATTCTGGCATTGTGCTGCTGTGGTGGTGTTGAATGAGATGTTACATTCTGCAGTATTTGCTTTGAGGGAGGTGGGTCTGTGCTGAATCTTAGAGTGAAGAAATGCGCTTACCCACTTTGACTGTTTTTTCTTGTGTGTAAATAAGGCAATATTCCATATTGCTAGCCCTCCTGTTTCCTACCTGTCAGCTAAAATCAGGTAAACCTGTTGTCAAGACAGTTTAATTTTTTTTGTTTGTTTGTTTTGTAGTCTCTGAAAAGTGCTAGTTAGTTCATGTTTGTACATTAACCTGACTGTGCATAGTATTTACTGAGTGGAGGAGCATTCTTACTCTCATACTACATCTTTTGCAGACTAGTCCTTTTGCCATGGAAGCCGAAGAAACGATGGAATGTATCCAGGAATTCCCTGAACACTATAAAGTTATTTTGGATAGACTGAATGAACAACGTGAGCAGGACCAGTTTACGGATATCACTCTGATTGTCGATGGTATGTACAGGCATGGGAACCAGTTAGTATACAGAGAATCCTGGAAGCTGTGCTAGGGAGCTCTTGGGTTTGTCACAGGTCAGCTGTCAAACTGGGCTGCTAACAAATTACTGGTTCTGTAGTGGTGTGAGAGTTGCTTGCAGTTTCACTTAAAATCTCGATGTGAACAGAGTCTCCAGCAGTGATTAATAATTTTGCTTCTGCTTTTCCAAACAAAGGGCTAAATATTTTGGATAGAATCCTACTTTGAAACTGCGGTGCTACATTTAATGTGTTGTCTAAGGATTTTCAAAACATTGTTAAAATATTTTTCCCTAACTTGAGCTGACTCTTTGCATGCAGAGAACTTGTACAAATATTGCATTTTTTTTAAAAAAATAAAATAAAACAAACCAAAATAAACACCTTGAAGTAAGATTTACTTATTGTTTCTCTGGTGTCTGCCTGCTATTTTAATACATGGTAAAAATAGGGTAGAAGGACTCACTTTTCTTTTTATATGAGTTCTAGGGATGTAAGTATTAGTTTAAAAGAATGATGGAGATATAAGGCCTTATTATCTCCTTAGAAAAAGTGGTGTCTGATAGATGACCTAAGATTTCTTCTCATCCCAAACATGTCTTAGAAGAGATGAGGACTTCAAGGAAGATAGGCAACATCTACTAGAACAGACTTAGCTATAGGAGTACCAGCTGATCTTTAAAAGGATAGCAAGAACTCACTTGAAAGAAAAGGGTCCTACAAAGCCCGGATTAGAAAAAAAGCAAATGAAGAAGAAATTACTTTTCAAGAATTGCACTGGCAGCACCTGCACAAAACTTACCCTGAGTGTTCCTTCTGTGGTATTATCGAATCCGTGTGTTGAGCTCAAAGCTGCTTTTGTGTGCAGCTGTGTAGCTCTAATCCATGTTGCTCCACTTATCTCTGTCCCATGGAGCCTTATGAATGTTCATCCCCGCGCCAGGGAGAAGGCAACACAGTGATGGGGAATATATAGTCTGGAAAACAGGAAGAACAGAGCAGAACTGCTTCTGTTCTGCAGCAGTGTTTGTGTTGCAAGAAGTGGTGATAAAATACATCAGTCTGTAAGAGCACCAAAAAACAAGGAAAACCTGGATAAAACCTGAGAGCTGAGCCCAAGACATACAGGAAAAAGCTTGCATAGGAATTTCCTATAACTTAAATATCTTAAAAGAGATACACTGGAGTGAGTGAGTCCTCCAGCTGACTGAGTTGCAGAGCTTCAGCAAGGTCAGTGATATCAGCAAGGGTCTGCATGAGATGGGACAGGCTAGCTGCAGTATTATCCCATGTTACAAGGAGACATACTAAGTGACTGTGTGCTGCTGGAATGAATTTGTAGACTGGGTGGTCTCTTCTCCGCATCTGCACTGTGAGTGAGGAAGGCGTTGTCCTAAACCAAAATTTTTATCTCTTTTTGTAGGTCACCATTTCAAAGCTCATAAGGCTGTTCTTGCTGCCTGTAGCCAGTTCTTCTACAAATTCTTCCAAGATTTCACTCAGGAACCCTTAGTGGAGATTGAAGGTAATCTGATTTGTGCAAATAAAAACCTTCAGAGTTGTGTGCCCGAGCTGGATATGAATGTATTGTCCTTGGTGTGGGCAGACATACACACTTGGTCATGTCAATTAGGTTTCTAGATCTCATCTCTTGAGTGGTTCTCAGGCAGCTACCACCCCTGGAAAAAAAACTTCCCCTGAGGAAAAAATCAAAAGAAAAAGAACAGTCTTCAGTTAAATCTTTTGGAAGGGAAAGCGTGAGGTTCTGTGGTTGTGTTTTTCCTTTTTTTTTTTTTTTTTTTTCCCTTCCTCCCAATATATGGCTAATGGCAGTCAGGCAGAACCTGTATGTTTTTAGGACTAGCCATGTGACACATAATCTTTTCCCTGACTACAGCTGTTCTGGTCAGATGAAAAAGGCTGCCAGTGATGGCCACTGGCAGATGTCTTGGCTGGGATGCAAGAACAGGATAGACATGGAGTAATACGTGCCTGGTAGGCAGGGAGCAAATTCCTGGAGCAACATTTCAGCCTCCAGTAACTTGCTGCTCAGAGGTCTCTTGTGAGAGAGATTGTATATTTGTGTTTAAATCTGTACTTTTTATTATTCAAACAGCTTCTGTCCATCTTATCCTTTCTTCTGTCTTTGTTGTCACATAACTCTGTAGTTGTTCCAGATTCATATGTTTCTATAGTATACTTCTTATTCCAATATGAGCCTTCTAAGGATGTCATCTTTATGAAACTGTGAGCAAGATGGTGAGCAGGCAGGGGTGCAAAATTCATCAGATAGATGAGACTGAGGAATTGCTAAAAGAAACTGTTGTTTGTTTTGCCTGTATGCAGGTGTAAGTAACATGGCATTTCGTCACCTAATTGAGTTCACCTATACAGCAAAACTAATGGTCCAGGGTGAGGAAGAAGCAAACGATGTTTGGAAGGCAGCTGAGTATCTGCAAATGTTAGAAGCAATCAAAGCACTTGAAATCAGGTAAGCACATAAGCCTCTTTTTCTTCCCAGAGCTGAAATGTAGAGTCACAAGAACTGGCTGCCGGTATTTTGCAGCACTGTTCCTTATCTTGGAAACTTCTAAACTCGTGTGGGATCATATAATCTTCTACTGTAAGATACAGGTCGGAATTATGCAGGCTAAAAAATGAAGGACACGTTCTTTGGGCTGGAACTTGATGATGTGGCTGGTAAACGTTGCAGAGACATTGTAGGGCTGTGACTTTGTGGTAACCAATACCAGGTCTCTGTGCAATCTGACTGCCCACACCTGATTGACAGCTGGGTGTACGGTGATGATGTGCCTCAGGTAATTAGACCTCATTAACAAGCTTGTGCTGGTGTTTTGATTTCATGCAGCTTTCTGCTATTTCTGAGAGAATAAGCAGTGATCTCAAAACTTCTTGCTGCAAAATTAGCCTCCTAAACTTCTTGAATGAATGTAACTGTTATAATCAATTTTGTCTGAGATAATACTTTTGCACGGGATCAAATGTTGCTGTGGCACCTTTTATCCAGCACCAGGAACTGTACTCCATCGCCAGACTCCAATCTGAGAAAAGCAGGTGCCGGTCCCATCATGCTGTTTTCCTTCTGCTTCCTTCCCTTTCACTTTCACCAAGTGCTGTGACGTTCTCATTCCTTCTGCATTCTACACTGTTCTGCTGGCATGAAGCAGAGAGAGGGGCAATAAATGCTCCCAGCATTACAGTTATTTTTGCTTTCTCTTCTAAACTTGCTGAAAGGTCTTTGCGTTCGAGTAAGGAAAGACTGTGGCTTCCTTTTTATCTCCTCATAGACACATCAGGCGAGGAGAGTGGCACTGGCCCCAAGCTCCTCTAGTAGCCAGCTAACATCTTGTTTAAAGAAAACTTCCATGACATGATGCACTGCAAACTTAGTTTTCAACATCAGCATTTATTTCTGAACTAACTTATTCTGTGCTGATTCTGTGAATTGGCAGTAGAGCTGAATAAGTATGTAATTTTTTTTTTAATAGGAAAGACATGGGGTTGTGCATTTGTAGTCCTACCTTCCAACCCTACAAACACCCTTTTTTGACATTATTAAGATTAAGCATGGTACCACCAAAATAATAATTTAAAATTCAGGGAAAAAAGCAGACTGTAGCTGTCTGCCTGAGGAGTTTAAAAGAAACTTGAAACTGGAACAGTATATTCTAATCAGTATCACTTAGAGTCAATGTACATCAGCAGAGCTGTTGAATCAGGATTGAGGTCCATCCATCAAGCTAAACTGTCCAGCCTGCAATTATTTCCCACTATTGTATAATGTTTTGCAGTTTGTTGGTTATTCATCACTAGCAAACACTGTAATTCTTATGTTACAATAAGGAAATCTTTTGCTTAACAAAGACACATGCAAGACAGTTTATTCTTGACTTACTTCCATTGTTCATAGATTTTGGAACGTTTTTTATGGGGGTTTATTTTGGGTTTTTTTGGTTAGGAAGACAAACTCTAGTTCCACTGTCAGTCTCTGTTCTCTCCTCCGTAGTTAAGAGGGGGAAGAATTGCAATGCAGTGCCTCAGTCAGAGCTTTGGCTCAAATGGGTAGACTACAGCTGAAGCAGAGGTGATGGGGGGTTGGAACTAGATGATCTTTGAGGTCCCTTCCAACCCTAACAATTCTGTGATTCTGTGATAGAACTATTTGTGTAACCCATCAAAGAGTTGCACATTGCATAGTCTAGACTAGAAAGAAAAGAACTAGCTGTTTTTTCTTAAAGTGCAGTTGTATTGTATCCCCATTGAACGTTTCACATGATGTGTTCAGGGACAGTAGTCTTCTCTTTGCTGAGCAGATTATTCTCTTGATACGTGATCCTGGAGCCCCTTGCAGTAATGTGCAAAGTGATTGTCACCTTCTAGACATCAGAAGTCCAGGCTAGATGAAACTGTAAGTTTAGCTGCTCTGTGTTCCAGTGTCTGAACAGAGTTAAGGTGCAATTTAATAAGCTGTATCCTGCATTAAATCATGAGCCACACATCTCTGATATACTTACAGATACTGGATGAAGCCATATCTCTCCTATTACTAGCGAATGTGAAAGTGATAGGGAGTAGATTACGTGAAAGGATTAATCAGGCTGCAAGGATGGGTAAAAGAACAGCTTACTCCTGTCAGCCTGATTTGAGGGGAAGATAGCTACTCAGTTTTGTAACTGATAGTCAGTAGTAAACTCCAGCCCGTAAGTGCTGCAGGTGATCGTGAGAGTGTGACTTGAAACCACTGGCCTGCTCAGCTCTCTCTGTTTGAGATGACATGCTCTCCCTGACATCCTGGGGAAAGGGAGTTCTGTGTGTGTGATGCAGGGAGTATAGGAGCAGAGCTGGGGGTTGTGTTTAAGCCCAGAAAATTAAACTAGAATACTCTTCCCACATCCCAGTGACTTTTATTTTTACCTCATCTGATAGCTGTGTGCTTTCCTGAAGTACGAGGTGTTATAATAACCATTGTGTAAAGTCACAGCTGTAGTGTTTTCTAACAAGCTGTAAGTGCTGCAGGCAATTGCACACACTCCAGAGCTTAAGAGGTGAATAGCGTAGGAAGGACTTGAATCTTATTTCTGAGTAGGCAGGCCAAAGAACTCCTTCCTTCGGGGAATTTTTCTTTCCAAGTACAGAATTTCACAAGTTTGAGATAAACTTATGCCATTATGTTACCTGGCCTTTCTTCTTGACAGGTCATTTGTGTCGTTCAAGCAGAGCTGTTTAAAACACTTCAGTAGCCTTGTGTCAAAGGCTCCACAGCTTTAACCATGCTGTTTTACAGCTCTAAGGAGTATAGATTAAGGACAAATTAGCTTCTGACGTGCACACAGATGATGTGGACATTCATCATTCAGCTTCTTTGAGAAACAGCCAGGAAGTGCTGGATGCAGTAGCTCAGTATTAGGCAGGAATTGTTACGTCAGTGCTTATGGATCTTAACCATGTTTGTGCAAATGCTTTACAGGAACAAGGAAAATTCATCACCCTTTGAATCAAATCAAGCACAAGGTAAAAATAACCCAAAAAAGAGGAAGATAGCTGAAACCTCTAATGTTATCACAGAAACACTGCCATCTGCAGAATCGGAGCCTGTTGAAATTGAGGTTGAGATCGCTGAGGGCACGATTGAAGTGGAAGATGACAGCATCGAAACACTTGAAGAAGTAGCTTCTGCAGAGCAATCCATAAAGTACATACAGACAACGGGTACATCAGATGAATCTGCTTTGGCTCTTTTGGCAGATATCACCAGCAAGTATCGTCAGGGAGAGAGAAAATGCCAGATCCAAGAAGAAGCTGATAGTGCAACCGATGCCTCGTGCAAACAGGTAGAAGGTATTGAAATTGTGGAACTTCAGCTGTCACACGTGAACAATTTATTCCACTGTGAGAAATGTAACCGTTCGTTTAAATTGTTTTACCATTTCAAGGAACACATGAAAACACACTCTACTGAGAGTTACAAGTGTGACATATGCAATAAAAGGTACCTTCGAGAAAGCGCTTTGAAACAGCACCTCACCTGTTACCACCTTGATGAAGGTGGTGCCAGCAAGAAGCAAAGACCTGGCAAAAAAATACATATATGCCAGTACTGTGATAAGCAGTTTGACCACTTTGGACATTTTAAAGAGCACCTCCGGAAGCACACAGGTAAGAGTACTGCCATGGTTCTGTCCTTGCGGCCTTGGCTCTGGCATTTGGGGGTTTTGCATGATTTAGGGAAATAGCATGCTGAAGAGATCACGTGAGTCTTGAGTGCTGGAAGTGCTTGGCTTCTAGTTACAACTGAAACACTTATTTGTCTGTCTGCTTGTTTGTTTGTTTGTTTTGTTTTCTATCGATGTAAACTTTTGAGGGATTGAGGTGGCTGAAAACAGGCACCTAAAACCAGAAAGCACTAATGAAGTTTCTCTTTCAATTCTGTTAAAGATTTTTTCAAAATCATTTCTTAAGGCCTGTTTCCATCTTCAGAAGTACCAAACCGAGGAGCTACTTTTATTTTCACAATTCTACTAGTAAATGTTTCTGTTGAGATGTAATCTGAACTGTGACCTTCTTGGTGGACTACAGTTTCGAGGGTTTCTTTAACAGAACTTCTGAGCAAATGCCTATTAATGCCTTAGGCACAAAATACTCTCTAACAATTCTCTCCTGTACCATCTTGTTTGGAAAGTTTCACCCTTGGTCTTGACGTTTCATCTATGATTTGATTTTAATTTGTTTGTTAATGCGGCAAAACATTTCTAGTGTCTGCAGCACACTTTTTTTACTGTGAAATCTGCCTCTTGGAAGTCTGGATAGCATCTTTTGAGTGCAAAATGACTTTATAAAATGTGCTCCTGATTTCCAGATGGTTTTGTTTAATATGTCGGTCATGAGTCAACAGTAAGAATTCAATGGAGGGTAGCAGCCCTTTTTCTTTCACAGCTTCTTATTGTTGTTAAAGCCTTTTAATTCAAATTTCTTTGTATCCGTGACTGGGACTGCTGAGCATTGATATATGACACTGTGTCCAGTCTCTTCTCAATAGCCCCTTAAAAGTTCTGTTTATAAACAGTCTTTGTCAAATCCTTATCCCCTATGAAGCAGGGAGTGTTTCTCCATTATGAGCAATCCAAATACAAGCTACTTCACAAAAGTCTTTTCAGAGAAAAGTTTGTGGCAGACTAACGAAGTAACCCAAATATCACAATATGTTGATTGCTGCTGTGACAAAGGATTTTGGGGACAAAGCAACTCAGCATACCACAGGAGGTTCAGGGTACTTTCTAAATATCTATCGATACAAAAAATATAACACATGGGATCTAATTACTTCTGGTTTAGCGTTTTCAAAAGCTTTAAGCTTAAAATCAAAACAGATAGTACTGTTTAACTGTGGTCTCCTAAGGTCAGTGGAAAAATTACCATTCAGCCAAAGCTTGCTAAGTTCTGAATTCCGTATAGCATGGTTTGAATGCTAAAATGAAACTAAAAGCTCTGAGAGAAAATGTCCTACAAGGTATTGATCCTGTTGCTGCTAAATCATAACACCAGCAATAACATGAAGGCAGCATTTGGGGCAAAAATAGACGCTCTATTGGTGTTGGTAATTCTTTTTGCTGTAGGAATTCGACATTACCAATGGCTATTATCTTTGTCTCAATAAAAGAAAGGAAGGAGATCCATAAAGTTTCTTTCTGACTTGTGTACATGCCTTAAGCAGCTTCTGAGTCTCTGAAGGAATACATCAAAAATGTCTTGCATGTCCTGTAACTTTGAAAGTATTAACAAGGTCATCTCCAGAACTTAAAAAGAGAGGGAGGTTTTGGTCTGATCTAATTTACCCTCAGTAAATTTGCGGACGACACCAAGCTGGGAGGCTGTGTCGATCTGCTTGAGGGTAGGGAGGCCCTTCAGAGGGATTTGAACAGACTGGATCGTTGGGCTGAGGCCAATGGCATGAGCTTTAATAAGGCCAAGTGCAGAGTCCTTCACTTGGGGTATGAAAACCCCAAGCATCGCTATAGGCTCGGAGAAGAGTGACTGGAGAGCTGCCTGGCGGAGAAGGACCTGGGGGTGTTGGTTGACTACCGGCTTGATATGAGCCAGCAGTGTGCCCAGGTGGCCAAAAAGGCCAATGGGATACTGGCGTGTATCAAGAATAGTGTGACCAGCAGGAACAGGGAAGTGATCCTGCCCCTGTACTCGGCACTGATGAGGCCGCACCTGGAATATTGTGTCCAGTTTTGGGCCCCTCGCTTTAAGAGAGATATTGAGCTCCTGGAGCGAGTCCAAAGAAGGGCGACTAAACTGGTGAAGGGGCTGGAAAATAAAACTTATGAGGAGCAGCTGAGGGAGTTGGGGCTGTTTAGCCTGGAGAAGAGGAGGCTGAGGGGAGACCTGATTACAGCCTACAAATACTTGAGAAGGGATGGTGGGGAGGTGGGGGAAGGGCTCTTTACATTAGTCATGGGTGATAGGACTAGAGGAAATGGGTATAAGCTTAGTCAGGCAGATTCAGGTTGGATGTTAGGAAGTATTTCTTCTCTGAAAGGGTTGTCAGCCACTGGAATAGGCTGCCCAGGGAGGTGGTTGAGTCCCCATCCCTGGATGTGTTTAAGAATAGGGTGGATGATCTGCTTGGGGATATGGTTTAATGGGGATTAGAGATGGTTGGACTCGATGATCTCTAAGGTCCTTTCCAACCTAGAAATCTATGAATCTAATTATTATCTTTTCCCCCTTTTATGAGAATGGATGAGGTTTCACTTGCCAATCATAAGTAACACACAGGATAGAAATTGTGCAGGGCTGCATTTAAGTAATGTATTTGTTGAGTTCAATAGCTCTAATTTGTCTTGCACAGGAGGAGCAATTTCCTCACACGGAAATCAAATCTTTGAAGCTACTGCTTTCAATATACTGGTCTAATCCTGATATTTTGCAAAGTTTATATTCCCTAGCAGAAAGAGACACTGAACAGCTTTAACTCCCTCCGATTTTACTGGATATTTTGACTGCTGAATATTTCTCAAAGTTAGGCTATCTTGATTATTTTTTTCTTTTTTCTCCTTCTCTGGAGAGTGTGTGTATGTGTCTGTGTATGTGCTTACAGGAGTGAAGGTGGAAGTGAAAGAGTTGTGATATGCTCCAAGCAGCTAAATTTATCTGCTCTTGTCTGAAAACCCTGTAACTGAAGTAATTTGTATACAAACTTATTAGCAAAAATTAATCAACATCTTTGCTGTTCTTGGTAAACTTAAAAATATGTTTTACAGGAAGTGTATTTTGAACTGCAAATAACATCCTCCGTAGGAGCGAATAAAAGGACTCTTATTTAAGTACTTTGAAAAAATTTTTCCAAGAAGTTCATTTGGTAAATGCCTGCCTTGGTGTGTTTGTGGAAAAAAAAATATATTGACTAGGTCTTACTATTTCTTTCTAAACCCATCTAAATAATGATATGGTAGCTTTGTGGTTATGGTTGAATTCCCTGATATTTCTTACATATTAGGCAAATGAAGGTCACTGTGTTAGTTGTTATGAAATTCTTAGGGTTAAAAAGTATTTATTTGGGGCAGTCTCCTTCCTTTTACTGTCAGATTATAAAGGACCAGCCCAATATTGTGCTATCTCTGGTCAGAATTTCTGTCCTGTGAGTGAGTTACAATTGGCAAGTAAAACCTCATCCATTCTCACAAAAGGGAGAAAAAGGTAATCGTTAGATCAGGCTGCAAACCTTCCTCTTTGTAAAATCTCACTTAGATGAGACGAAGCTTATGGTTGGATGACATGCAGGGGAGGAGAAGCAAGTTGTCACCTTTAGCAGAGGAGCTTAGCCCCCAACTTGCCAGCGTGTTTTTCAGAGAAGAAAGAAAGAAAGAAGACACACGATGTCTTCTGGCCTTTAGGTATTGCCTCCATTATCTTTGAATTGTCACTTCCAGACACTTTTGGCAGAATATGTTGGAGATTACTGCAGAATTTGAGTAAGAATAGAATAAATCTGTCCCTGACTGGTGCCTTGCTCCAAGTAACTGTTTAAATATGACCAGATGACAGGGAAGGTGAAGGTCTGTGGTGTGAATTTTGCTCTATAGGATCCATTGGTTGCTTGGACAAAGTCCATGATTTTTGACCTGCAAGACTGATGGCAGTTGAGCATCCTCTGCATTGTATGTACAACAGTCTCCAAAAACATAACATTTTGTAACCATTAAGAGGAATGTTCACACCATTTAACATTTGTTTGTAGCCTTTATGTGTATAAGTGAGAGTTATAGGCTACTTGTGGATTTCTTTTGAAAAGCTAATTAGGAACTTCTGAATATCTTTATTTCTGAAAATACCTTTCCATCTCAACAGTCAGTAACTGCTGCCTTCCTGAAAGTGCAGGCTTTTGAACTAGCTGGGATAGATTGTTGTGTTATTCACCAAAATCTCTCAGCCTCTTTTGGAGTTCATTCAGCCATTGGTTTCAGTAGTGACACTGGTGTCAGTACCTCTGCAGTAATTATCAGACTTTCAGAAGAAACACTGTTCCCAATTTTTTTCTGCTTTAATTTCCTTGAATTTCTTTGTGTTTGTGTTTGATGAAATTAGTAGACAGAGACACCAGTTGTTCTTTGTTCCTTGTTGATGACAGTAATAACAATATACTGCTTTGGATGAAAAAGAGAAAACGACCTGTTCTCAGCCTCCCCTGCTGTTGTCCTTAGCTGGCTTCTGTGTTTGGTTTGAAATGAAGTGGCCAACTGAAAAAAATTTTTAATCTTGCTTGTGCCCATTTATTTCCCTCTGATCTTTCCCTTCACTATATTTTGAGGGGGAGGGGGTGCTGTTTGTTTATTTGTTTGTTTGTTTTAATACTGATGCATTGTTATTTCATCATTATTATGTGCCAACTTCTTTTTCTGAAAGTTTCAGTTCTCAGGAATAAGCTGTTACTGTTCTTGACAATAAAGCTTTGTATTATTTAGATACTTCCTTCTTTAATGTGTCACTTTGTATATTTACTACTGTTGATTCTTTAATTGTAAATGTTGTCTGACTAAAAGAGAGAAATAGCTGCTAATTCTCAAAGATTTTTTGTCAGAATGGTGGTCTAATTTCCATAAAAACATGAATGTACCTTAAATGGCGCTGGTAATCGTTACACTTTTTTTTTCTAAATGAGTTATGACTCCATGTTAGGCTTTTGCCCTTTTATTTATATAAAGTTTACATAGAATGCCTTTCTCCTCTTCTGTAGAGTAATCCAGTTGGCCAAGTCGTTACAGCATATTTGTCAAGCTACACAAAAAGAAGAAGAGAGAACTCACAGAAAACTGGCTGGTTTTATGCACTTACAAATCCCTATGTCTGTCTTAACAGGTGAAAAACCGTTTGAATGTCCGAACTGCCACGAACGTTTTGCTAGGAATAGCACACTCAAATGTCACCTGACGGCCTGCCAGTCTGGAGCTGGAGCTAAAAAGGGAAGAAAGAAGCTGTATGAATGTCAGGTGGGTGGTGGAAATAGCAGAGTCTGAGGCTACATACCTCCTTCCTGTGCTGAAGGAGTGTGGGAATGTTGCGCAGGAAAGGCAAGGAGTCTAGGGCTTGTGTCTCCAAGAGCTACATTTAGTAAAATAAATATACTGTGGATTGCATTCAGACACAACATGCAGATACATTCTTATATCTCAGTAGTTCCATTTAAAATATGGCATTACTGCTATGGAGCCTCATAATAATTATAATCAGAGAGTTTCTCATGGGTAGGTAAGCATTGATTTGCATTCTGCTCATCTTTCTGCTTCCTTTTCAAGGTTCTCGATGCACTGACCTAGGCCTTTCCCACTTGTGAGCATGCTTCACTAAAGTCCAAATACAAAGTACTATTTTATTTCCTATTTTATTATTCTTCTGTTTGATACCCAATATATTGACTTTGTCTGGAAAGTCATTCCAACTTACAGTGGCAATCCATAATGTCTTTTAAGCAAACATAAATGCTGTAGATGGATAGCTATGCTACTTGGTCACTATATGTAACTGACATTTGAAAAACTGTTCAGATGAATCTTAGCTTTTAAAAGCTGATTCTGAAAAGCGGGAAAATACAAGAGTTGAGGCTGGTTCTATCATTTTTATTTGCCATTTTGCTGCCCCACTGCTGTGACAGTCTCAAATAAGAACAAGCTTCTCTCCCTCTCCCTCTCCATCTTTCCCCCCCTCAACCTTCCTTCTCTGAGTGTGAGAATTACTGTCTAACACAAAGCTGTGCCATTGAACGTGCTGTTTTGTCTTTGTGACTCTTCGGTTCTAATCACTTTTGTGTCATAGTTTTCTCTTTCTAAATTTATACAACATCCTCTCACAGATGTTGTACATGTGGATTAGTGCTTCTTGAAACCACGGAAACTACAGAAATTCTTGGATAAATTTTTCTTGCATTTTTTTCTCTTTAGAACTTTGGAATAGTGTTCAATAAATAAATCTTGGCTTACTGAACAAAGAGGAGAAAACAAAATCGTGCCTCCTTGATGAGTACTTTTGGTGCTCTTCAGTGTAGGCTTTGAGTACTGAATTAGGCTTCACGTGGCAAGAACAATAATTACGTGCTTGAGCATTAATGATAGTCATTACCTTTATGTATGACTAAGTAGTTATGAGTGCTTATCTATAAAGTAGTATTTTAAGAAGTATATGTGCAACTTCTTTCTAAAGCATGAGCCTGTGGGGAAAAAAGGCATGGCACTAGCATCACAAATGGTTTTAACAGACTTCAACAGCAAAATGGAGATATTTAACCCCACTACACAGACCTGTTCTTGAGTTAATCCCTGCCAGATACTCCATCATTCTGCTGTGCTGTTGCTGAAAAATATGAGGAGATGAAACATTTTCTGTTTCAAAACCATTTGACAGCAGTGAAGGGTGTTGAAACATGTTCTTTGCTGCTTTCTGCAAGCAGGAACACTTGCATGGACGAAGACTGCAGAGCCTGTTTCTTCACTCTGAGGCTGACTCTACCCTACTCTTCTCTCTCTTCTACACTGGCGCCTCATTCATTTCTGTGGTCTCTGTGTCTTGTTTTCAGGCTGCTTAACTCAGTGCCAGCTGAAGGGATGGAAGTGAGATTATGTGCTTTGTGAAAACAATGTGTCTGCAGTTGAGGCTGTACTTCTAGCTAGAGGAGAATTAAAGAGATGGAGTTTTAGGAGAAATGACTGAAGTCTTCTTTTTTTTTTTTTTGAAAAGGCAAAACAGGAGAGTTCTGTCTAGCTAATTAAACCTCACGATGCCGTGAGCACATGAAAGCTCATAAGGAAAAGCTGGCTAGTGGTACTGCATCTAGAAAAGGACAGTTTGAATTACACTTCAATTGAACAGTATAGAATCATAGAATCATAGAATGGTTAGGGTTGGAAGGGACCTTAAAGATCATATAGTTCCAACCCCCCTGCCAGGGGCAGGGACATCTTCCACTAGATCGGGTTGCTCAAAGCTTCATCCAACCTGACCTTGAACACTTCCAGGGATGGGACATCCACAGCTTCTCTGGGCAACCTGTGTCATTGTTTCACCACCCTCAGAGTGAAGAATTTCTTCCTTATGTCTAATCTAAATCTCCCCTCTTTCAGTTTAAAGCCATCGCCCCTTGTCCTATCACTACACGCTTTTGTAAAAAGTCCCTCTCCAGCTTTTCTGTAGGCCCCCTTTAAGTACTGGAAGGCTGCTATAAGATCACCCCGGAGCCTTCTCTTCTCCAGGCTGAAAAGCCCAACTCTCTCAGCCTGTCTTCATAGCAGAGGTGTTCCAGCCCTTGGATCATCTTTGTGGCCCTCCTCTGGACTCGCTCCAGCAGCTCTGTGTCCTTCTTGTGTTGGGGACTCCAAAGCTGAACGCAGTATTCCAGGTGGGGTCTCAGGAGAGCAGAGTAGAGGGGTAGAATCACCAGAATCACCTCCCTCGACCTGCTGGCCAGGCTTCTTTTGATGCAGCCCAGGATATGGTTGGCTTTCTGGGCTGCCAGTGCACATTGCTGGCTCATGTTGAGCTTCTCATCCACCAGCACTCCCAAGTCCTTTTCCTCAGGGCTGCTCTCAATCCATTCCCCGCCCAGCCTGTACTTTGTGCTTGGGATTGCCCCAACCCACGTGCAGGACCTTGCACTTGGCCTTGTTGAACTTCATGAGGTTCTCGCAGGCCCACCTCTCCAG